AACTATCCCAAATTTACTGCGTAGAAGAAAATGTAATGAGCTCTATAAACACTATTTAAAGAAAATAAGGCCTTGCATGGTAGTTCATGCCTATAATCTCAGTACTTTGGCAGGGGGAAGCAGGAGGATCGCTTGAGGCCAGGAGTTCAGGACCAGCCTGATCAACAGAACTAGACCCAGTCTCTAAAAATAAAAAATAAAACAAAAATTTGGTTTAAGATATTCAAAACACATTAACTCTTTGAAGATTAGTTATGAAGTGCAGGAGGAGGGGTAATGGGGGAGGCTAAATAAGCATGGGCTAATTATCTCAGAGCAAGTTTTCAATCCAAAACAAAATGACGTAACTATGCAAAGATTACACAGTGAAGTAATTTATGGCAGAAGCCTGAGATTCAAAAAGTTGAAATGGTTGGGATTTTTAGTGCCTTTGCAGCTCCTCCCTTGTTTGCTTGTAGAACCTGCCATGAGGAAGGATCCTCAGTCTAGCAGGAAGGGATCCTGCCATTTAAGAGGGAAAAGAATGCTATTCCGAGCAGGCACACCTGCTTCCAATTCTATGTGGAACACGATGCTGATGGGATAAATGAGTACACAGAATTTAGGATAAAGAAAAATCATAGGATGAAATTTCACGAAGTATAAGTCTGAATCTCTGCTAAATGAAATCTGGCTACCTAAATATTCTCCGGCCAGTTCAAAAGGTGAAAATGACAAGGTGAACAGCCACTGTGAGCAGCAGGAGCACAACGAACAACAGTTTCTCTACTTGTTCTTATCTCCCTCCCCTGGTCCCTTTGCCTTTCTTATTCGTAATGCTCATGATGTCTTTTTCTTTCTTTTTTTGAGACAGAGTTTCGCTCTTGTTGCCCAGGCCGAGTGCAATGGTGTGATCTCAGCTCACTGCAACCTCTGCCTCCTGGGTTCAAGTGATTCTCTTGCCTCAGCCTCCTGAGTAGCTGGGATTACAGGCATGTGCCACCATGCCTGGCTAATTTTGTATTTTTAGTAGAGACAAGGTTTCTCTATGTTGGTCAGGCTGGTCTCGAAATCCCGACCTCAGGTGATCTGCCTGCCTCGGCCTCCCAAAGTGCTGAGATTACAAGCGTGAGCCACCGCACCCGGTGTCTTTTTCATAGGCTGTATAGGTTTTAACTCAGTGTCCTTGCATGACAGGGTAACAAATCACATATTTTAAGATTTGGGCTGAAAGGCGCTTAATCTTTAGGAGAAAAAAAGGTCCTGCTCAATCTACTGAATGAGCAGGACAATAAACACAAACAAGACATGGTGGACACCTGCCTCCATGTGCAAGGGATTTATTATTGGATCCATCATTTATTACGGATCCATGCCCCAGCTTGTCAATAGGAGACGCCTTTCAAAGAGCCTGCCTGGCTAAAACACTTTTCCTTGGCTTAAAAAAAAAAAAAAATCCTTAGGCCAGACACAGTGGCTCACGCCTCTAATCCCAGCACTTTGGGAGGCCGAGGCTGGCGGATCACGAGGTCAGGAGATGGAGACCATCCTGGCCAAGATGGTGGAACCTGTCTCTACTAAAATACAAAAAATTAGCCGGTCGTGGTGGTGGACCTGTAGTCCCAGCTACTCAGGAGGCTGAGGCAGGAGAATCCCTTGAACCCAGGAGGCAGAGGTTGCAGTGAGCCAAGATGGCACCACTGCACTTCAGCCTGGAGACAGAGTGAGACTCCGTCTCAAAAAAAAAAAAAAAAAAAATTCTTCACTAGTTACCTGTTACTCGCAAGTTACAGTTCAAACCATTTAACAGGGGAAAATTCCAGGAGAGTATACACAAAGCCTTAAAAATGCTTCCCAGTCATAATGCCTTTTTAAAGAAAATCAAGATCAGATCTTAATGGTTTTCAATGACATGTGCTTCAAGAGAAACCAGACCTGTTCCTCAGACGATCTAGAAGGGAAACTTACCTTTGGCTCTGTAGCCAAATATCCCCAGGTTGGAAGGTTGAGTGGTTGAAGGTCAGAGGAAATGCACCCAATGCTTCTATGGTTCCATAGGCTTCAGTGTCTTCTTCTATTACACTGTATTTTAATTGCCAGCTTCCTTGCCTATATTGCACCTCCACACCAAAAGCTCTATGAAGATAGGGACTGAGTGTTGTCAGGATCTGACACAGCACCTCATATCAGACACTCAATAAGTATTTGTTAAATGAATGCATATGAAACCACTGAAACCTGGAGACACAACATAGAGTAGCAGAAAAAGAAACAGGCCAGGTGTGGTGGCTCATCCCTGTAATCCCAGCACTTTGGGAGGCTGAGGCAGGCGGGTCACCTGAGGTCGGGAGTTCAAGACCAGTCAGACCAACATGGAGAAACCCCGTCTCTATAAAAATACAAAATTAGCAGAGTGTGGTGGTACATGCCTGTATTCCCAGCTACTCGGGAGGCTGAGGCAGGAGAATCGCTTGAACCCGGGAGGCAGAGGTTGTGGTGAGCTGAGATTGTGCCATTGTACTCCAGCCTGGGCAACAAGAATGGAACTCCGTCTCAAAAAAAAAAAAAAAAAGAGAAACATCTTGGTTCTCAACTTTATTATTGATTCCGAGTAAAAAATTTTCTGGATTTTTTTCCCTGATAAACAAAAAGATGGGATAGGATTGTTAAGGATTTCTCCAGCATTATAATTCTATGACTAATATGTACAAAGCATTTTTAAAATTGTAAGACTGACTGTTGAGTGAACACACCAGAATTCCTCAGTGTAAATGAACATTAGCCCCTTTAAAGGTGGGGGTGGGTACTCTGACAAGTTAATTACTCATTCAACTATGAAAGCCAATTTGGAACATTTTTGTAGCTTAAAAAATTTATACAAGCAACACGTATTTATTAATTACTAAAAATAAATTAGAAATCACAAAAGGGAGGCTGAAGGGAATAATAGCTTGAGTCCAGAAGGTTCGAGACCAGCCTGGGCAACATGGGGAAACTGAATCTCTACAAAAAAATACAAAAATTAGCTGGGTGCAGTGGTACATGCCTATAGTCCCAGCTACTTGGGAGGCTGAGATAGGAGGATTGCTTGAGCCCAGGAGGCGGAGGTTGCAGTGAGCCGAGATTCATGCCACTGCATTCCAGCCTGGGCAACAGTGTGAGACTCTGTCTCAGAAAAAGAAAAAGAAAAGAAAAGAAAATCATAAAGGTGGAAGGGAATTTAAATTTACCCACAATCATACAAAGACAACCACTACCACCAGTCTGGGCATAAATCCTCCTAAGTTCTCCTGTTATAAACATACGTTGTATGTTTACATTTCTTTTCCTCTGTAAAACCAGGGTTATTTTACACTGGTAACCTCTTTCTTTTACTTAATATAGTATGAGTATCTTTCCACATACTTTGTAACCACAGTAATCTACAGAGTGGTAATATTAATTTATTTAAACAATGACCCACTTAGGTTGTTTATCTGTCACTATGATAAAAATGCTGCACTACATGTCCTAGTACATTTTTATGCACATAATTATGTTCTCAAAATAATTATCCAGAAGTGAACTTTTGGGAGCAAGGCTGTCATTTTTAAGTCACGAGCAAGGCTGCATTTTTTTTTCGTGATGGAGTTTCACTCTTGTTGCCCAGGCTGGAATGCAGTGGTGTGATCTCGGCTCACTGCAACCTCTGCCTCCCAGGTTCAAGCAGTTCTCCTGCCTCAGCCTCCTGAGTAGCTGGAATTACATGCACCCACCACCACACCTGGTTAATTTTTGTATCTGCAGCCAAGGCTGCAGTTTTAACTCAGTTGATTTGTATGCGGTTTTTCCTCTTTCGTAGCAGACTCCCATCCTTTTGATAGTAGATAAATAGTCACTGGAAGCAGCCAAGAGTCACCAGACTTTGGTCAAGTGTAGTGATTAAAGTGAGAGATCACGGAGGCAATACTAGTTTTGGTCGAAAGCCTCTGACTATAGGGCAATGTGAATGGTTTTCACATGTGACTCAAAGTAGCTCTAAAGGCAATAACGACAGGAATTCCAAAACCATTGTGGGCAATTGGTTTGTCACTAAACCAAGCATATTACTTCCAAAAGAGTGAACTATGAAGGCAACACACTGAGCTAGGTGATAATGCTTTCTCATGATTCATAATGTTACACATATATCTCATTCACACACAGAAATTCTGAATGGTTGAGTCAATCAATTCATTTAATAAAGTAGATGTACTAGCTTACCTAAAACTTTAATATTTGCAATATTTTTTCAGTATGACATTCTCATAAAAACTTATTCACCACTTGAATGGTACTTCACATACATTATCTTTTTAATGTTCACACTACTACCACAAATATAAGTATTACTCTCCCCATGTTATAAATGAGAAAATGGAGACTCAGAGAAAATGTGATTTGTGCAAGGCAACAACAGCTGATAAAACCAAGATGCCAATACAGATCTGTTTTGCTTCAAACACCACGTTCTTTTTATTTTCTGACCCTGCCACGTAGCACCTTTGAATAATTCTTAAATGTATCATTATAGGGTTGTTCAATTTTTAGCTGCAATGCTTAATATTTCTTAATGACTCTATTATTACTAGTGAATAATCCTACTCTTTATTTAACCTGGAAGTGAGCTGAACAAAACTGAAGGTATTGCTTATGAACAGACTTACTTATATTCTTGAGGAAAACTGGAAGTAACTACAAAAAGCCATTTATTCCACTTGAATGAAGTAAATATTGATACTAGACCTTACATTTAAAGAGACCAGTCTAGCAAGTGACTCTCATTTTAACAGTAACCATATTAAAAGAGAAAAAAATAGGGCAGTAAGTTAAATAAAAGGCTAATAAAACTTGGAGGAAACAGCTAAGTGTTTTCTTTTAAACCCCAAAGAATACCAAATGTATGTTATGTTGCATAAAGAGTCATTTCAAGAGAAGACTATTAACAACCCAATAGTAGAGTCAGCATTAAGAACTTCAATGATATTCAACTCAAACATGCGTAGGGAGAGTAAAGTTATTTTATTAAATCATGCACATCACGTATGTTAGTGCAAATAGTTTAATCTGTACTCCAGAAATTCTATTGTAGTTTATATCTTTACAAAATAGATTTAAAACAATTATTTACTTTAAAAAATGTAATTCTGAAGTTAAGCATTTCAGAACAATATTTGCAATAACCTATATACAAGAGGTACTGGGTACCACTGGCATATTAGCATTCTGTGGTGGAGTGGCTTCCTGCAACAGAAAATGATGAAATGAACTATATGACAGTATTTTCTACAAGTCATTTGTGACTAATTCCTCCATAAATCTAGTGATCCTCCCAACAGCAATCCCAAACAGCTTAAAATATAACCTTTAAAGTATAAACAGTGACTGCCAAACATCACAAGGCAAATTATACCCTAAACTCCTATTTCAATATTTGACTAGACCTGTGGATTGCCACAGAACATTCAAGCCAATTCACTGACATTCCCTCCCGGTCTTCACTGACTGAAAAATTTAACTATGTGATATTTTAGGATATTCTAAGACCTAAATAAACTTTATTGACATAACTATGATGCCGCACAAAACCATGGCTAAACTTTCACTTGTGTTTTAAATTTATAACATCAAGCAGTGTTTTTAGGTGCTTCATTGTGCATAGAACACTATATCTTGGGAATAGTGCATTTCATTAACAAAAAGTCCCAATTAACAACAATAAAAAGAAAATAACCATTTGCATACCCAACCAGGAAATCTGTTGGTAGGTACAACAGCTCACCCTGAACATGAATTAGCTCTGACACATCATAAACCAAATTAGGTCAATACAAGCTTATCTAAAGAGATATTAATACTTTCTTCAATTAAACATGCTTGGAGGAATAGATGACAGAAAAAAAAAATCATGCTTCCTAAAATGCTGTATATGAGAAAGTAACTTGGCTTTTAAAGAAAAATATCTCTTTAAATACATGAGGTTTAATAAATTACATTCCAATTGACTCAACAGTTTGGTTGACTGCACTGAAATTGTATAATTACTACGTTTTTGCTCCCAGATATTCTTCAGTTTGCTCAAGAAAATACACACTCTCATGGAAAGTTTTTTAAAGTTGATGTCCTCCACATCTTCAAGTCACATTAAGGCTGAACAAGCGTGCACATATTCCCCAAATTATCACCATAACAGTTTATTTTCCAAATGTATTTTTCCTTAAAAAAAAAATCCACGCAAATAGTTGTCTCTAAGTCTTGTTCCCAATAGCTCAGTGGTTTTATAATGAGTAAAAATGGCGTAAATATGTAAAAAATATATATATATGTGTATATATTTCGAACTGATAGGCACTGAGCACACAGGGCCGCTCTTCCCATGTATGTATTGGTTGTTTGGTTTGGGTAGTTATCGAATCAGAAAAATGAATTATCTGGCCATCAGAATTCAGAGTAAAATACTCATAAATTTAATGTTATAAATAATCTGGTGTACCAAGAAGCCTACTTTAGGCCACCATAATATTCAGAATCTCAACATACTAATTTAAAAATTACATGAAAAATTGCAAGCAAATTATTGCTTACAGTAGAATAAAGTCACAATTTTATATCTTCTTTATAGACAGATACATTTTATATAATTTAAAGCAATGACCCTACAGCTGTATTCTTGTACTTCTGCTGTTTTAAGAGGTAAAGAGGAAGAAAATGGTTCTGTTTGTCCCCAGCATGAGTGTGATGCCAGCTTCTAGAGGGAGGACGGTGTACGGACTCAAGGAACGCTCTCATGGAGAAGCTCTGGCCAGACCTGGCACGTACAGCACGATGGCTGTTACTGCAACCAGGGCAGCCAACATGGGCATCCAGGGCCAGGGTTTCTGTGTGGAAAGAAACCAAGAGTCAATATCACATTCTCCCCTCTGTTTTCATACCTATTAACCCCTTGGTTCCAGAGAGTCCTGAATACTTAACAGAATATTGGAAAAATCTTATTTTTGCATCATAAAAATAAAGTTTGAAAAGAAAAAAAAAGTGAGGGAGTGCAGGTATGAGGAGAGCCATAATAGCCGGACCACCAATTTGGAAGTCTAATACATCCCAAGAAAGTCCTGGGAAGTTTTCAACTTTGTTACAGTTGAAACCTAATAGTGACTTCTAAGAAAATTTGTGGGCTCTGCCTGCTTTATTTACTCTGGTATCCATATATTGCAATATAACTGATGTATACAGACACCTGTAGTATGTTTCTGCCCAAAATGTTTATTTATTGATAAGAACCAGTATGCGAGGGGATAGTGGCTAAGGTGATAATGGTCTAGGCTTTGGTTCTCTAACGTGAAACCACAGAAGATAAAATCAAACAGGGTTCAAGATGGAGAAGTAACATTAGGGATCCTGCCTGTCTGACAATTCTGGTAAAGACTCTGTTCAGTGTAATAAAGCCACATGATCACCTCATATGCTCTACTAACATGCATGCCAGTGAGAGACAAGCATGGATGGGCTGTTGCCTGCTAGCTTTTAGAGGGCTTTATAAGATCAACTTGCTTTGATTGAGACTTGTATTCTTACTTGTATTCCAGGAGTATTATTGAGAAAAACTGGTTTTTAGAGAAATATTCTGATGTTGCGGTCAGGGCTCAGAAAGAAACGGGATACGTTTATATCCTTGCGAGTACACAATGGGGTTGAGATTGTGAGCCAATGGTTCATTATGTTAATCTCATTCTTTTTCATCTTCATAGGCATAGTATAAACAGGCAAAGGGTTGAAACAAAGAAAATCTACACTATGAAAAGGAAGAGGATAAGGAGGAAGAGGAAGAAAGCTGGCTGAAAACTTCAAGGAGGCAAACTCTTCATTCAAATCTGATTAAACACATAATTGGAAAGAGGGTACTAATATTGCAGAAATTCATAGTGTACTCCAGTTTGCTAGAGATAAAGACTCAGTTAATGGAAGCATATTAACAACTGGTTAGGTTGGAATTAACTCATGGTTAGCATTACTACAAAGTAAACAAGACAAAAAGTTACGGGATTAGTTGACTGTTCAGTTCATTGGTATGACACAAATACATGGCATACTAAATGAAGGGTTTGCTTCAGGTAACAAAATACCTGTGTGTTCTTGCCATGCACTATATTACAAATATGGCACAAAAAGGTGACGGGGACGAACAGACAAGGACTCAACAATAGTGCTTGTACCTTTCTCTACCACAATGGACCGAAACACCAAAACAGGAAAGCCAGGAATAGGCCGATGAATACGGCTGGGACGGGTTGTAATATGGAAGGCTAAAGAAGGGAAGGCATATTAAAATCATTTTATGCTATGAAAATAATCAGATAAGAGGATTCAGACCCCAGTAGGGTGGGAGGTAGGAAAGAAAGAATGAAATAATAGAAGTATACCACTCAGGTTTTGCACAGATTCAAACATTTTAAAGACATCTAACACAATCTGATAGACTGTGGTGTGCCAGTTGGGAAACTATCAGTTTAAAAGGAACAGCTAGGCTCAATGCCTGTAATCCCAGCACTTTGGGAGGCTGAGGCAGGTGGATCACCTGAGGTCAGGAGTTTGAGACCAGCCTGGCCAACATGGTGAAACGCTGTCTCTACTAAAAATACAAGTTAGCCAGGCATGGTGGTGCATGCCTGTAATCCCAGCTACTTCAGAGGCTAAGGCAGGAGAATCGCTTGAACCAGGAGGCAGAGGTTGCAGTGAGCTGAGATAGCGCCACTGCACTCCAAACCGGGTGACAGAGTAACACTCCATTAAAAAAAAAAAAAAAAAAACACAGCTGAAGGCAATGGGCAATGTGGGTATACCTAACATTCTAACGAAATATAGCACATGAAGACAGAGCAAGTCGGGTGTAGTGGCTCATGCCCGTAATCCCAGCACTTTGGCAAGCTGAGGTGGGCAGATTGCTTAAGGCCAGGAGTTCGAGACCAGCCTGGGCCACATGGCAAAACCCTGTCCCTACAAAAAATACAAAAATTAGTTGAGCATGGTGGCACATGTCTGTAATTCCAGCTACTTGGGAAGCTGAGGTGGGAGGATTGCTTGAGCCGGGAAGGTCAAGGCTGCAGTGAGGTGAGATCACGCCACTGCACTCCAGCCTGGGTGACAGAGCAAGACCCTGTCTCCAAAAACATAAAAAACAAAAAACCAAAAAACAAACCACTGACAACACTTCACCATCAGCTGATGCTCTCTGCTTGACAGTACACTATTTTTGCTCGATACCTGAAATCCATTATTTGACAATGTACTCCCTTAGCAATGGTTAAAGTTTATTTTATGCCTCTAACAAAATCTTTTTTTTTTCAACCAAAGCTCTTTTGCTTATTAGATGATACAGCTTTCAAGCTTAAAAATAAATGCCCTGTGACAATGCGTGCTTCCTAAATCAGGCAAGACATTTGACATGTAATAAAGGTTTGGTTATATATAAAGACAGGCAGGGCTGGATGCGGTGCCTCACGCCTATAATCCCAGCACTTTGGGAGGCCAAGGCGGGCAGATCACCTGAGGTCGGGAGTTCGAGCCCAGCCTGACCAACATGGAGAAACCCCATCTCTACTAAAAATACAAAATTAGCCAGGTGTGGTGGCGCATGCTGTAATCCCAGCTATTCGGGAGGCTGAGGCAGGAGAATCGCTTGAACCCGGGAGGTGGATGTTGCGGTGAGCTGAGATCATGCCATTGCACTCCAGCCTGGGCAGCAAGAGTGAAACTCCATCTCAAACCAAAAAAAAAAAGAAAAAAAAAAAAAAGAAAAAAAAGGCAGCTGACTCTCAGGGCTTTCAATTATGTTACCAGAATATAATTATAATAATTTTTAAAATGGGAAGAAAATTGCTACAATGAGTGTTATTACAGAGTGATATTTTAGTACCATAAGTGCAATATCACAAAAAAAGGAAATTCACCCCTAAGGTGAATTGTAGCTATAAATAATAATAGCAAAGTTACTTTTGAAAAGGTTCTAAATAGTACGGGGGGGATCCATTCTGATTATGCTAGATGTCTTCATGGGTTATTGAGCAGTAGACTGAAATTCCAAAATCCCAAGCATATGAATTAACACAAAAGAAAGACGTAATCAAACCACTGTGATCTGATTTTAGAAGAGTTATGTAATCTACATTTTGAAAAGTAAATGCAAACCATTTTCCTTAGCATAAAGCCTCCACACCCAGTTCATCAACTTCTAAAAGACTTCTACCTAAGCAGCAAGCCTTTATTATCTACAAACTAAGACTTTCTTTAGCAAAGGACAGTTGGACGCAACTCATGAGCATTCTGTGTGCAAATGAGTAACAGGATGGCCATGCAACATCACTCTTTTGTACTTGTGCTGCAAGGTAAGCAGAGTGGCTTCCTCCATAGGAAGTATGTGGCTCACGCACACTGCAGTGTCCAAGCCATGACAGTGGTTTTAAATAAGTCAGAGCACAACCAACCACACTAAACATCTATCAGGGCCCACAAAGGTAACGATCACCAAACGTACAACACAACATTTATTTAGTATAGTATCTTTTTAAAGACCATCTGTCTTTCTAGCAAATGAAAAACAAAAAAAAATTAAACTCAATTTACACCAAAATGTTCATCTCTCTCCCTCTCTCATGGGACTACAGAAACTCACCAAATATTTTCTAATATTTACATAATGACAAAGAGACATTAAGCTTTTTAGAAACTGTGCCTCAGGGAGAACATTATTGGTATAAGAACAACATATACTACTCTGTCTTAAATGGATCCCTGGTGGTACAGTGCTTCATTTCCCAGCAGGGGAGAAATAAGAGCCAGATGATAGCTTAGTGACAGAGCTTCAGACTCATCTGGGAAAAGCTGACAGTTCTTAGGCAAGCTGCTTTATTGCAAACAAGACTCTTCCTCCAGGCAGTCCCGAGGCTCTTCTAGGGGTATAGGTTAAAGGCACAAATTCTTACTTAAAAATCTGACAGCACAGTGATTCTATCATGGAATTTCATAATGAAAAGCCTATTTCATCTGTACCATCTGCTTCACAAATCAGTGATAAAGTCCTCTGAAAATCAATTTCAATCTCTCATGTGCCTCTCAATCAAAGCTAAGCCAAGTTTGCAAAGACTTACATTATTTCCTTTCTCTCGGAGCAGCTTCAGGTTGTTTTTACACTGTTTGAGCTCATCTGTGATTGACTGCTTTTCCTGCTCAGTCATTTCAAACTTCAACTTCAGTTCTGAGAGTACAGTCTGTGTCTTTTCATACTAAAGGCAAAGAAAAAAAAAGTGTGCAGATTCAACTTAAAATGGGTATGAAGTTATGGTTCTAGTCAGGCTTATATGCCAGACCCTATTTAGTCACCTGGAACACCAAAGTCAAGTCTTTTTGTTTAAGGAGGAATAACTTGCACTCATAAGAAGTCTTTTGGCTGAGCGCGGTGGCTCACGCCTGTAATACCAGCACTCTGGCAGGCCAAAGTGGGCGGACCACGAGGTTAGGAGTTTGAGATCAGCCTGACCAACATGGAGAAATCCCATCTCTACCAAAAATACAAAAATTAGCTGGGTGTGGTGGCGCATGCCTGTAATCCCAGCTACTCCTCAGGAGGCTGAGACAGGAGAATTGCTTGAACCTGGGAGGCAGAGGTTGCAGTGAGCCAAGATAGTGCCACTGTGCACTGCAGCCTGGGTGACAGAGGGAGACTCCATCTCAAAAAAAAAAAAAAAAAAAAAAAAGAAGTCTTTAATGTTGACTTTATTCTATGTAAGAATTTTCTGGCCCTGGAGTTAAAAAAAATTAAGAGTAATCACCATTTTGTCATCTGTTTTTAATATAAAGGATCACTTTTCCCACCAAGTGAATTATAGGAAAAAAGGAAAATTTCAAACTGAGCAAAAGAAAAGCAGGTGAAGAAAAATTCCATAGCCAACGTTAGGAAGCCTGAGTTTATATCCTGGTAAGGAGTGTCAGCCAAACTATTTCAGTCTTGAAGTAAAAAGTATTAATTCCCTATAGGTTTCCCTTTACTCAGCATTACTGGGTATTAAAGTGTTCTGGGTAAGTGAATTTTCTAGGCAGATGAAGCAAAGAAATGTATCTGAAGTACCCACCACTATGATTGGGAAATTTCTATTTCTCCACTTAAAACAGGCATCGGCTGTGCATGGTTGCTCACATCTGTAATCCCAGCACTTTGGGAGGCCAAGGTGGGCGGATCACTTGAGGTCAGGAGTTTGAGACTAGCCTGGCCAACGTGGCAAAACCCCATCTCTACTAAAAATACAAAATTAGCCAGGCATGGTGGCACATGCCTGTAATCCCAGCTACTTGGGAGGCTGAGGCTGGAGAATCGCTTGAACCCGGGAGGTGGAGGTTGCAGTGAGCTGATATTGCACCACTGCACTCTAGCCTGGGCAATAAGAGTAAAACTCCATCATCTCAAAAAACAAAACAAAACAAAAAAAACTTAGGTTATCAACTAAAAGTCATTTAAAAAAATTCGTTTCTGGTAGACATTTTATTTTTATTTTATGTATTTATTTTTTGAGACAGAGTCTAGCTCTGTCACGCAGGCTGGAGTGGAGCGGTGCGATCTCAGCTCATTGAAACCACCGCCTCCCAGGTTGAAGTGATTCTCCTATCTCAGCCTCCTGAGTAGCTGGGATTACGGGCACCTGCCGCCACGTCTGGCTATGTTTTGTACTTTTAGTAGAAACGGAGTTTCACCATGTTGGCCAGGCTGGTCTTGAACTCCTGGCCTAGGGTGATCTGCCTGCTTTGGTCTCCCAAAGTGCTGGGATGACAGGCATGAGTCACCATGCCCCGCCTGTTTCTGGTAGAAGTTTTTAAATAGCAAAACTTGCCATTTTCTGCTCTGGAAAACAATTTACTGTATATACTTTGACTTTCACAGAGAGTCACATCCTTTTAAAGACCATCTGCCTTTTAAAGGTGAGACCAATATGAAACATAATATGGCTTACCCCTACTTTAAATGGTGCCTGGAGGCTGAAATTCTAGACTGGTTCCACTTCTAGATACTACATCTTACACACAAGCTGGGCTCACAGTCAAAGAGCAGAGATTGTTCTGCTACTGGCTGTGCCTTTGTCTCCACTTCCACTACCTCACTCTGCCATCTGTCTCTTTTTTTAGACGGAGTCTCACTCTGTCACCCAGGCTGGAGTGTAGTGGTATGATCCTGGCTCACTGTAACCTCCACCTCCTGGGTTCAAGGGATTCTTGTGCCTCAGTCCCCGGTACAGCTGGGTTTACAAGCATGCACCACTATGCCTGGCTAATTTTTTTGTATTTTTATTACAGACGGGGTTTCACCTTGTTGGCCAGGCTGGTCTCGAATGCCTGACCACCTCAGTCTCCCAAAATGCTGGGATTACAGGCGTGAATCACCGCACCTGGCCCTATTCTGCCATCTCTGAAGGTTTTAGAAGGAAGATAGACAAGGATTGAATATAAAATAGATATACCATGGGTAAAGTATACCAGAAAGGTTCCTCCTTGTCCCTAAAGGTAGTTTATGAGGGTAGAAAGTTTCCAGTTCCTCTCTACCTATATCCCAGAACTTCTTCAGTAAAGGAAACCTTTATATGCTTCTGAAAAATGTAAATACCTTGGAATTACTAATTAGGAGCCCATCATCATGCTCAACAAAGATAAATATTAAGAAGGAATGTAAATGTATAAAAACATTAGACAGGAGAGATGGGGCTTAGGGTCAACATAGAGGTCACCAGAAAAAGAGAAGAAAGATATGGGTACAGAGAGGGAAGTAAAATATGAAAGACACTCCCTGTTACCTAACAACATTCCCACAACAAGCCTGGATAGTATGCCAGAGAATGAACTAAAGGAGTACAATTCACGGGCTTTATGACAGCTTTCTTCAGTTGATGTGAAGATCTGTGGACTTCCTTCCAGAAGGCAGAAGATTACTGGCATATTGCCAAGGCAAAGTCACTGTACCTACACTAGTTTCTGCAAATTGGAACATGATAAATTCTCAATAACCCATGATCTGATTCTTAACAGGGACCAATAAAGAATAAGGAAAGAGTGCTTTGTTGACAAGTTTTCTCTTACTTTCCTTTTCCACCATTCTTACTTCCAGTCTGCCCTGTGTACCAAAGCACTTATTTCTCCATTCCAGGAGTTGTGAAGCAGAGCCACAGGAAGGCAGCTCAACCAGGGGGATCCTGTTGTTCACCTCCAGCATGTGAAGGGGTGGCAAGGACTCTGGCCCCACGGCAAGAAGGTAAAGCCAAATAACTCTCTTGAGTCAGTCTTTACAGGGTGGACTATGTGGCTCAATGTTTTATGAATTTTTTTTTTTTTTTTGAGACAGAGTTTTGTTCTTGTTGCCTAGGCTGGAGTGCAATGGTGCAATCTCGGCTCACCGCAACCTCCACCTCCTGGATTCAAAGTGATTCTCCTGTCTCAGCCTCCTGAGTAGCTGGGATTACAGGCGCATACCATCAAGCCCGGCTAATTTTTGTATTTTTAGTATAGACGGGGTTTCATCATATTGGTCAGGCTGGTCTTGAACTCCCGACCTCAGGTGATCTGCCCACCTTGGCCTCCCAAAGTGCCGGGATTACAGGAGTGAGCCACTGTGCCTGGCCTATAAATTCTTAAATTATAGATATTCCTACTAAATTAAAATATAGTGACGCTTTCTAAAGTCAAATATAAAGATGATACATCATTATTTTCTTTTAATACTGAGGATTAAGATTTACTTTTTTTTTTTTTTTTCTGAGATGGAGTTTTGCTCTTGTTGCCCAGGCTGGAGTCCAATGGCTGGAGTGCAATCTCAGCTCACTGCAACCTCCGCCCCCGGGGTTCAAGCAATTCTCCTGTCTCAGCCTCCTGAGTAGCTGGGATTACAGGCGCATGCCATCATGCCCGGCTAATTTTTGTATTTTTAGTATAGACGGGGTTTCATCATATTGGTCAGGCTGGTCTTGACCTCAGGTGATCTGCCCGCCTCGGCCTCCCAAAGTGCTGGGATTACAGGCATGAGCCATGGCGCCCAGACAAGATTTACTTTTTGCATGTACTTTTTCTTTGTTTAATATTCATATAAAAGTCGCCACATATATAAATTTCAATTTGTACAACAAAGGTCACCTACTGCAGCCTTGCTTGGCTATCATTTTTGCTCCATCTTGCTTTCTAACTCTGAGGTGACAAATGAGCTTGGTCCTGATTAAGAGGGAAATATCACACAATATTACCAACACCTTTGGTTCTTCTTCATAAAAAGAATCGTATCTGGGCTTGCTTAGCTTGTAATATTTTAGTCTGTTACAGTGCTGAAAATACATAATTAGATACTGTGCATATTAAGCATGATTCTATGAGAGAAAGGAGAACAAAGGGGAAATGTTGAAGGGAAATACATGTGCATTAATAAAAGGCAATAATTCATTTGCAGTGGATTACACAGAGATAAGAACCACATTAAAGAACATTTTAGTTATAGTATACAGCTATAACTAAACTATAGTATATAGTATCCAACATGTTAACATCTGGACAAACAGAAAGAGAGCAATTTCACATTACAAAGGAGTGTGATGACTACACATCATTTCACAATGGAAAACAGTGAACAAGAAAATAGAAAAGAAACATACTGACAAGATCAGACATATTTTTAAATGTGCTGCATTTAATGCAATCCAAGACTATCAACAATTTAGATGCTGTGACAACATGCCACTGCCATTTGTGGAAACAGTTAAAGCATTTTGCACCGATTACTCAGTGACCAAAAACAGGCAAACAAATAATGCAACAAAATGGCTAATGCATTCATAGTAACATACAACAGAATAATCTTCCAACCACAGCATTCTTCCCAGAGTTTGAAAGAACTATGGCATATGGACTGGAAGGACACAAAGTGCTTACAGTATTAAATACTAAGATATTTACTTTGGACAAAATTTGTGTTCCAACCAAATAAAATGAGATTTCTTCTAAAGCACATATCTTTAGTAAGGTAAAAACGAACACATTACAAAATCAATATGTCCACAAGAAAATAAAAAATGTTACAGTATTTCTTTTCATTAGGAACAAACATGAAGACAGAAGAACAATCATTGCCAAATTCAGGACACTACAAGGAAAGAAAAGTGCAAAGAAAAACTGCATTGATTAAGCAGATCTTCTAGAAACAACTTTGGGAAAGTTCATTATTAAAGACAAAGAGTTGTCTTCAACTTCCTTCTAATTCATAAAGAATCCTTTTAAGAAAGTCTACAACTGGGGTGGTCCCTGATCTGCAGATCAAGTTGTATCAGGCTTCTCCATTCCCCGAGCTGGCCAGGAGTTAATGCACGGAGTGGTATGAGGCCAGCAGGACTGAAGGCAGCTCTTACTGCCCTGCTGTCAACTTCAAGGCTTTGGGAAGTGAAATACACCTCTCTTGCTCAGGAAGAAATTGGGTAGGGTTTCTGTTCCAAAGTTAATTGTTATGACTTCAACACAAGTTTTTAAAAAGCCACTCAATTTAAGGTTTTAAGCAGAATGATACGAAAAGTGAGCACGCACATTTATGAATAAGGGGAAAAGGGGGTGGGAGAAGAAAGTAAAAGGCCACAGAACATGTGTTTGGCTGGCTGCCTGGCTATGAGGTGAATTTTAAGTAACTTTTCAGGCCATATTTACCTGAGGGGTTCAGATAGCATTAGAGTATGGCCTCAGTTTGCTTTCCAAAAGTATGCTAAGTTACATACGATACTCTCTTTGAAAGTTAAATAGATCAAGAGACCTGGGACAAAGGGTTTCTCATATAATTAACTGGTAGAGAAAAATTAAAATGTGGTTTTGTATATTGTATTTTTGACACCAACCCTACTGAAGAATTCTCTATAAATGGACCATGATACACAGCTAGAAATCACCAAGCAGAGAGGTTCCAAGTATCAATTTTGTGATAGGTAATGTGACTTCTGCTTCCCTTTAATTCTAACTAGCATGGATATCTGATTTGCTTTTGGCTTTAAGTCCAACCATAATTGGGCTCATAATGTCTTTTCGCTTTACCTCTTTCTGTACATCCTTTGCTTGGTTTTCAGCCTTACTGAGAAGAGTTTTTAAGTCAGCTGAATCCCGAAGATGCTGTTCTTTTAAGGATCCGACTTGATTCTCAAGTTCTTTCCTAGACATTTGAAGGATGCTGAGATCACTGGTAAGCTCTAAACTCTGCTTCTGAGAACTGCAATATAAATATTGACAGATAGTTATTCACAGGTAGAAACTGGACACAGAAGGAAGTCCAGTTTCTTATACATTTCACTAGAAGGGATAGAGTGGATTTCAGAGAAAAAAAAGAAAAGTATAAAAAAGAATGAAATATTTTCATTCAATAAGCAAAAACCATCAAAACACTAAAAAATTACAAGCTTAAAGGTGTGTCCCATCAAGTATACACAAAGGTTGAAATTTTAAAAACAGAAATAGGAGGTAATTAACTGTATATTTTGTTGTATCAAATTGTATTAATTTCATCATAAAAAGATTCAGTATAGGTCTTCTACAGGAAAAGAACACACATATTTCAACAATTTCTTGTAAGTTTAAATACTTGACAAATAGAATGGGGGTCAGAAACTTAAAGCTTAGGAGTCACTGCTAATTCAAGTAAAGATAAACCTGTTCAAATGAGAAGACACACCAAATTGAGAAAAGAGCATAAGACAAAGAAGTAGGAGGCTGAGTTCTACACCCCGAGCTCTGCCACTATTTAGCTGGGGGATGTTAAGCAAGTCACTTAACTGGTACATTTCATTTTCAGAATAAACACTTTCTGAGCTCTTAGACCTATACAAGATACCATGTAATATATACATAACTAACACAACGAGAGTCTCAGTGCCCTTCACTGCCAAGTAACAGGATTGAATCATTAACTTCTGAGGCTATTCCCAAGGTTAATAAATTCTATGATTACCTTTGTGTTTTTTGAGACAGCGTTTCACTCTTGTTGCCCAGGCTGGAGTGCAATGGCGTGATCTCAGCTCACTGCAACCTCCGCCTCCCGGGTTCAAGCGATTTTCCTGCCTCAGCCTCCCGAGTAGCTGGGATTACAGGCATGCGCCACCATGGCCGGCTAATTTTATATTTTTAGTAGTGACGAAGTTTCTCCATGTTGGTCAGGCTGGTCTCAAACTCCTGACCTCAGGTGATCTGCCCGCCTCGGCTCCCAGAGTGCTGAGATTACAGGCGTTGAGCCACCACAGTCTCTATGATCACTTTTATAACTTGATGTTAAAAAAATCTGACTTACAACATACGCGGAAAACAGCTTGATATGTGTGAACAGAAATTCCATCTTCAATTCCTTCTTCCATAGCCCAGACAACAGAGAATAAAAGGTCTGCACAGTATAGCTGTGTTAGGGAATTTGGCTCCCATAAATAGCTAAAGGAGTATAAGGTTTTCAAGGTGACAGTTTTACATCTTTCAGAATGGATCATTCAAGAATCAGACTCACTACTGTAACTGAACTACTACAGAGTCTGAATCCCATTTTGATTGTACGCTTCACAGATACTTTGGGGTGGGTCTGATGTTGTCAAGTCAATACAGCTAGCAATTAAATGGCACATAAGACGCTGTAAAGGAAGACTAGCTTCTAAATACTACTTAAATGCTGGGGAGGCTTATCAAGCAAATTTAGGGCATCAGAAAAGTTTAAGAAAAAGAATTAGGCTGGGTGCAACGGCTCACACCTGTAATCCCAGCACTTTGGGAGGCCGAGACGGGCGGATCACGAGATCAAGAGATGGAGACCATCCTGGCTAACATGGTGAAACCCCATCTCTACTAAAAATACAAAAAAATTAGCCGAGTGTGGTGGTGGGCACCTGTAGTCCCAGCTACTGCGGAGGCTGAGGCAGGAGAATGGCGTGAACCCAGGAGGTGGAGCTGGCAGTGAGCCGAGATCACGCCACTGCCCTCTAACCTGGACCTGGATGACAGAGCGAGACTCCGTCTCAAAAAAAAAAAAAAGAATTAATCTGCCTTAAATACTTTATGTGAGTTTAGGTAGATGATCTGACCAATGACTTATAGGCCCCTTTCTGGGGCCTAATGTTTTTAAACCATATGCTTCTACTCACTAGTAGTTTGTAGGCTTGCTTCTCAACACTTAAAATTTGAAAAAATTGAAAACAGTATTTAAGAGTCTGCTAGATTCCAATTAATCACATCTTCAAAATAAGGGATCTAGCCTAAATCTTTAAAATATCAATAATTTTGGCTGAGGGCAGTGGCTCACGCCTGTAATCCCAGCACTTTGGGAGGCCAAGGTCAGGAGTTTGAGACCAGCCTGACCAACATGGTGAAACCCCCTCTCTACTAGAAATACAAAAATTAGCCAGGCATGGTGGCACACACCTATAATCCCAGCTACTCAGGAGGCTGAGGCAGGAGAATTGCTTGAACCCAGGAGGCGGAGGCTGCAGTGAGCCAAGACTGTGTCACTGCACTCCAGCCTGGGCAAGAGATTAAGACTCTGTCTCAAAAATAAATAAATAAACAAATAATTTCAAAACAACAAGATAAGCAACAGTGGCAATCAAACAATGGTATTTCTTGCTTGATAGATTATTAAACTAAATGGATTTATTAGGATCTTAATGTATTCTAAATGTAAAGAACTTGGGTATCTGTATCATAATCTTATACACACTTCATACCAAACAATTTGTTCAAATGTGCTGTTATACAGATAATCAATTCATTCCTCAATTTCTTTCTTTCTTTTTTTTTTTTAAGATAGAGTCTTGCTCTGTTGCCCAGGTTGGGGTGCTGTGGTGTGATCACAGCTCACTACCTTTGACCTCCTGGGCTTAAGTGATCATGTTGCTTCAGCCGCCTGGGTAACTGGGATCACAGGAGCGTGTCATTCCACCCAGCCTCCTTAATTTTATATATAGTCCAGGTGTGGTGGCTTACACCTGTAATCCCAGCAGTTTGGGAGGCCAACGCGGGTAGATCACTTGAGGTCAGGAGCTTGAGACCAGGCTGGTCAACAGAGTGAAACTCCATCTCTACTAAAAATACAAAAAAAAGTCAGCCAGGCGTGGTGGTGCAT